CTAGTGTTATGTATTTTATGCTTACAGCATATCCAAATTGCCCACATTTCAAATGCTTGGGCGCTACATGTGGCCTGTCGGACAACACCCACCTAAGAAAACACTGACCCTTTGTTTATAATTTGAGTTGCGATTGTTTTTGGCTTAAAGCTCATTTAGTCTGTTGCCTTACTTTCCATATTGGGAAAGTTCTTTCCATTCTGATTCTCTGGGTCAGAAATCTCCCTGAATGGTCTGTTTAAAACCTTTATTTAGTTCTTATCATGTGTCAGATATGTCATACGAAATCAGAGACATTTATTGTTGGATCTGAGACAGCTCAGCCTGGTGGTTATGAGAATGGGCTCTGGGGCCAGACTGCTTGGGTATGACTACCCCACTTACTGTGTGACCTTGGACAGTTATTTAACCTCTCAGTGCCTCAATTTCCTCATCTCTAAAGTGGGCAGAATAAACAGTATCTTCCTCATAGAGTCACCATAAGGTTTAAATGAGTCAATATTTATAAAGTGCTTAACACAGCATCTCTCACAGGGTTAGCACTATATAAGTGTTTGATAAAACACTTTAAAAGTTTTGGAAAATTTTAAATAAGTCTGCATTTTTCCAATATGATAAGAAAGTAAAATATACTTTAAGAGAAAGACTACTTTGAAGGGAAACCATAGAGTTAGAATTAAACTAAAGCTCGAAAACCTGGGGGTCTCCTGAATATTTGGGAATCAATCTATCTGTGCCCCATATTCCTAATTTTAAAAAGGCGTAATATTTTTGCATGCCTGTTTAAAAAACGTGCAGGAATAAATGAGATGCTACATATAAAACACTTTGGAGAATTCCAGTTAGCAGTGATCATTTCTACAAAGCAAAGGCATTCTGGTTATTATCATCTAATGCAGCTAATGGATGGATGTTGTGAAGAGCTATGAAGTATGCATCTGTGAGGCTCCGATCGCAGAGGGAGAAATGGCTATTCATTCGCTTATGATAAACAGACACTTGGAATTTCATTTTAATTTCTGTTGCTGTTATATTTTTCTCCTGACCTTCGTGCTTAGCAGTGTGCCAGGCCCTTGCTGAGCAGCTCCCTGCTCTACCGTTGCCCGGCATCCAAAGCATTATCATTCCCATAATTAACAGTGCCTGGAAACAAATAATTTAATTCCGGGGCAAATGAAAATGAATCAATGGTGTCAACTCCATTTCCCATCTTTCTAATTTTCTGTAACAAAAGAGGAAAGGGAAGTGCCTGCTCCCTGGAGTGAGATGCACTTAGGGAAGGGAGAGACAGAGGAATAATAGGTGATACCTTATTCCTCATTCCCACAAAACATTTTTGTCCCCAGCAGGAAAATTATTCTTTGTACTGAATAAATATTTAAAGTCACACAGAATATGGCAGCTGGACATATTTATATGTCTAAGAAAATATACTCCTGACTTGGTGTGGTGAATTAAGAGAGGAAAGCACATTTAGAGAGAATGAAACCATAAGCCCAGGTAGAGCTCAGGCTAAAACAAGAGCCTCTTCCAGTCTCTTTTATAGGCAGAAACAGGAATATAACATAGTGCTGCTAATGATGCTTCAGCAATGAAGTAAGATAAAGTAACCCGTGGCACGTGCAGTAAAATCAACACCAATGCATCTTAACCTTGGATTCAGAATGAACAGTTTTACTTGCTTACAGAGTTGCTAGTTCAAAAGGACTTGACTGAAACTTAAGTCCCAGCTGTGTCATTCCTCACTCCATCACTAAACCTTAATCTGCAAAATGAAGAGTTTGGACTGTGACCCAGAAATTCTCTTCCTCCTCTGAGATTCCCAGTGTGTGGAACTGGTGATCAGGCAGATGCCGAACCAATATTCTGAATATTCTGTCAGTAGACAGGGGACTGGGAAATAACCACAGGATGGACGCAGGGACCCACTGGACCCACTTTGAGACGGACTTGAGCTAAAACTCCATTGATCACCTGACTTTCATAAGCCCCTACTCTGATTGGTGGACCACAGTGACACTTTGGGTCTCCTGGAATTAGTGTCAGTTCAGGGCTAGTGCCTAGGAAATAACCCCTGAAAAGCCTGATTATTTCTTTTTCCTTTATGCACAGTTAACCTAGCAAAAGGCCATAGGTATGTTGGGGAAGGCTGGGAGAAGGATTAACAGTACACATTTTCTGAAGTGTACCAGTGTCCTTCCTCAAGGGGACCTAGTCTCCCCTTCATTCAAGGGGCTCTTCATCTATAAACTAGCTCAAGTTTGGGAATGATTGAGGGTAGGTAAACTCGAATTTCTGGACTCCCAGTCCTGTGCCAACCTCGCAGAGGCACAGTGCATTCACCTCTGGTATCACAATTTAGAGAGCCTAGCTGAGATAGCAACACACAGTCTGGGCTTTGCCAGGTAAATTATGTTATTGAGAGGTCAGAGGCCCTGAACTACTTGCTGAAGAATGATTTGCCTGCGACAGGGAAGAAGATGATGTCATGAACATACCCAAGCAGTCTCTGCTTCTGTACTGCCCTTGAGTTAGCTTCTGGACAGTCCATTAGTTTCAAGTATTTTGCAGCCACTATAATGGCCCTTTTCTCTGCAGCCAATGAGGTTGACCATGTTGCAACCCAGACAGGCAACTAAAATCACCATCATAATTTGACTACAGTCAGGTACTTTTGAGTCTGTGGATATGGTTTGAAATTTCCCAGATAAGACTGAAAATGGAGGAGGCTGGAAAGTTCAGAACTTAGGCTATTAGCTTTCTACCGACAGGCTAACGGTATTACGCAGGTAATGCAAGAAAGTAGAAAGAGGCCTTGCCCCTTCCTGGGGGACCCTGAGAAGGTCCTCTAACAAATAGCCTCAAATAACATTTGTTCTTCCTTAGGTATCTCAATTCACTCTGAATTAGGTCTGCTGCAGCCCCTTGAATCCATAAGCTAAATCACCTCCCCAAGTTGGCAGTGCATGTAGCCAATCTCACACACAGCTCTGAGCACCAAAGGTCCCCTTTTCTGAAAAGCCCCTCTTCTCCATCATTACAAAGCAAACTATTGATTCTGGTCATTTTTTTCCAGGGAAAAATATTTTTACACTTCCCCAAACTTTCTAACCCTCTAGGTTTACTGAAATGGTTTACTGGAATGTATTCACTTTGAGGAAGTTTCTTGAAATTTGTGCAACTTAGTCTCATATTTGCAAAGTGCCCACTGTGTGCAGAATATAGAAGATGAGGGGTTATACTAAGATTAAAAAGAACATCAGAAAAATTTGTGGATAATCCACCAATCTCAATATGTGCACAAATCTTATGGCAGAAAATAAATTTTAAACTATTTTGAATGAATTATAAAAGTGACCCACTAATCTGCATGTGGAAATCTTTGTATTCTTGAAGGAACCCCCTTAAACAGCCTTTCTCTCTAATGCCTTATATTCCTACTAATCTAAGCTCTGATTTTTAAGTATCTCTATATATAATTAAAAAGACATGTTGTAGCTCTTTGTCCTTCTCTTTTGACAAAACTGTGTCTTACTGTGTGAGTACCACTATCATCAGCAACCATGCTGATATGTTTCTTTTTTTTTATTATGAAATACACATTTTTTATAATTAGTTCAGCTGTACAACACAGTGCAATAGTTATACTTTTTACCCCTCGAAGTGACAACCCTCCTCCCCCAATCTGCTGCCCCACTTCCCCCCAATATCATACATATCTATTACAATTCCCTTGACTCCACTCCCACACTATACTCCACGTGCCACGACCCTCTCTCTCTCTCTCTCTCTCTCTCTCTCTCTCTATATATATATATATATATATATATATATATATATATATTCACTTATAGTTGACATACAACATCAGCTTCAGGTGTAGAGTGCAGTGATCAAGACTCTACCCCCTCCTTGATGCGGTCTACCTAGCAAGACATGTGACCACCTGACATCCTACAAAATATTTACAACTTTATTAATTATATTCCTCGAACTGTCTTTCGTGTCCCTGTGGCAATATTGTAGTTACGTATTTATGCTGTCTAACCCCTTCCCCTTCTCCCTCCCATCCCAACTAGCAGGCATCAGTTGTTCCTCTATATCTCTGAGATCACTTCTGTTTACTTTGCTCGTTCATTCAGTTGTTTAGATTCCACCTGATATGTTTCTTAAATTAATAACCGAACATTGTCTCTTTCCCTTTCTTTATTATTTCATTTTATTTTATACCTGTAGATTTATCTTATGCTAGTCACCTCAGAAAGAATGTCTCTAATAAAAATTAAGTTGTCAAGGATGAAGCAGAAATTTTATATTTTTACTAATTGTTTCTTTATCAAAGCTTTCCTAATTGAACTATTGGGTCTCCCTAAGCTGGGAATTCATTTAGTTTAGTAATAAGTGCTTTAAAGAAAATGGTTACACCATTGGCTACACTATGCCATGGCACTTGGCTAATAGCACAACTTCCGTTAATTCAACAGAATTCAGAACTTAACAAAAAGAACCAATACAACTCAGTAAGCAGGCTTGCTCCCTAGTTAAATATGCTGTTAGCATAGATCAATAAAACAACATTTACTTGACACATTCTCATCCTGGATTTAAGAGAATGCCTGAATGGTTCGAACCTTTGATTAGTTCATAGTGTAGGACCAGAGCTATTTCTTGCTTAAATTACATTTTCAAAAGAAAAATACATTTATAAATGTTCCCTGCCTAGAAACAGCATTCCATTAAAAACAGTATTCATTTCCTTGAAGTAAAACACTAAAAGAATCAGCCACGAGAACAGACGTGTGCTCCTTTCTCTTCTGGGTTTAAAGGCTGATAATTATATTTCTAAGAACCAGCATTGTGACTCGTAAAGCTGACACAAATATAGAGATGGAGATGTTAATGCATAATGTGTTAATGTATAATTTCTTGGTAGTAAGGAGAACATGTACAATTATGAATAATAAACACATTACTATAAAATATGAAGGAGAAATTCTTACCCGAATCCAGAAAGTAAGCGACAGAAGAGAAAGAAGCCATAGCCTTGGACAAATGAAGAAAGGAAGGCAAAGAATCCGTTGACAGACATGCAGATCAGAAGAGACTGCTTCCTCCCCACTTTGTCTGCCAGTCCTCCCCAGAAGAACGCCCCCACCATCATCCCGAGGTACACTATGCTGCCTGCAACACACAGAAAACAAAAAAACACGTCAGAGATTGGGAGTACAGGACACATATGTCAGCAAATAAACAAATGGGACAAAATACATTCCAGCATTTTGCATGGGAAAAATTTCCTATAAGAATATATCCTTTAGGATACAAAAATCAGCTTTCAAGTTGGAAACTAAGGTCTGTAGGCTACCTTCAGCTGCCATGACCAATGGCAAAAGCAAACGACAGAACGATCACGTTCTCACCGGCCTCGTGGTGATGGGTACCCATTGGGAAGACATAAGGAGTCTCCACACAGAACAATCCCCGAGTTTGACTCATGGTCGTATCACCTTTGGTCTGCATGGCTGGCTCATCACCATGAGAAGGCCAACATGAAAGACTGACTCGAGGGCTCCCAGGTCAAAGTGGATTCCCCAGCCTGCTTCCATCTCTGTCTGTAACAAATAACCTGAGCCAAGGTCAGACACTTAGGGACCCTCTAGATGGGTTCTTTCTCTCTAGTCCCTCCTGAAAGCCCTGGCCCTTCGTTGGGAAGGAAAGAAACCTGGGGAAGGTGAGTCTGGAGATTACAAGAATTAATCTTAAAATAGTCTCAAACTCTGCACAATCTAAAAATTTTTTTTGGAGTCAGGAGTTTAAGGAGCCTAAAGAGAAGGGAAATAGGTTTTAGTAGTTTGGGAATTGTTGAACTTATTGTGGTTGGCTTTGCTTCCCATAAGGGAAACACATGGAAAATCAAGAGTTAGATATATGTCCTTCCTGCGTCACTGTTAAGTATACACTTGAATTTTCTAATTTGCTTCTTCTAAAAAACCAGGCCCCCATAAGCCCTCTCCAGAATCTTTCCCAGGATGAAATAATATTAGATGTGGCAAATGTTACTTCAGGGAGGTTTCTAAAAGGATGTGCAATGTCTTAGGGAAATGACACAGTTAATAATGAAAGTTTGTTATATCTGGATGTGGTGTTAAAAAAGCTGCGACTATAACTTTCACCCATTTTTGCTTTTTCCCTTGTTACACCAAAGCACCATTTGAGTAGTCCCTTTTCAAAGGCACATTCAAGATACTCAGCAGCATCTAAGCGACAAGCTAGAAAAAAAATCATTGGTTTATTTATTGCTTTAGACTACTTTGGGAAACATCCTATTTAATCACTCACCCTGAATTTATTTGCTTAACACACAGTTAATAGAGCAGTATGAGACCCAGGAGGAGAATGTTTAGCCAAGTCTGGTGACTCTCACGTCAATGACACGAGGATGCTGCTTTGCAGATAATCGAGTGCAGACAGAGCTCAGTGAATGGCCAGTGTTGGAGCAGTTTGTACAATAAAACAAAACAAAAGCTGTCTTTATTTAGGGTGCTGCAAAGAGGTGACTGGTCACCCTTGCCTGGGTGGGGGATGGCATATTTTTCTCTGTACTATGGGGATGACCACGTGTAGATCATCCTTCTCCATAAAGAGATTACTCATATCATGAGACCTATTGCATATCTAAAGACAACTCAAAGAACATATCAGCACAAGGCAAAGGAATTCCAAAAGCAGACATATTTACCCGGGGAAATGCATATGCAGCATATCTCTTATTTATAGCCTAAGAGGCTCAAGTTAGCCACTCATGTCTCTCAGAAGAAGAATCAGTAGCTAAGCTTGTTCATAATAATATCTGTGTCTTTAAAAATGCCTACAAATCAGAAAGTGAGCTCCCATAGATCAGGAGTGACCTGTGGTCACTACCATCTGTAGACTTGGGAGTCTTTCTTGTAGCTCCAGCCCCAGGAACAAAAAATGGTCAATGGCACTTGCTGAACCCTTGCCAATTCTAAATGTTTATGTGAATTAACTTATTTAATCCTCATGACAACACTTGAGGGCTAATACTACGGAAGTCCAGTTCACTGGTGAGGAACCTGAGGTACAGAGACATTAGTGATCTGGCCATTGAAAAGTGAGCAGGACGACATCCCAGTCTGTCACCAGTTCTTTGTATAATGTAGTTATGATTCCTTTAACAATCCCGGCTGCCCTCCTGTGAAAACATCCCAGTTTGTCCAGACCCCTGTATGGTGGTCCCACCTAGAATTGAAAGCAGGACCTCAAATGTCTCTGAGGTGCCTTCTCCCTGGGCACCACCTTCATAGAATTAGAGTTAAGTCTCAGGTAGCAGAACATGACAGATGGGAGCTAGGGGGAAAATGCTGCTTCATTTTACCCAAGCACAGGACAAGGGGCGCACTACTCCTTCTAAGACATTCCAAATGGGTACATTCCCAATGCTTGGTGGGGGAAAAGGGGGTCCATGCTGAGAACAGCTCAGTGGTGCCAGAGGAAAAATGGAAATCCAATCTCTAGCTAAAAAGAACAGGCTCCTGCACGGTGGTCCAAAGGAGGGTAACGATCTTGCTTTTCTGGTACAGGAGGGGCGATGCCCCTGCTGGGTGGGCCTCTCTACCCTGTCTTTCCTCTTTTTCTGTGCAGTCAACTGTAGCCTCATCTTCATAAAGCCAGATCACGGTTTTATGAAGGGATGATTCTAGCACTTCAAGGGCTCATAACTGGGTGCTAGATAGAGCTCAACCACCTAGCAGTAGTGTGAGGACACAGCTCCACCCCGGGACCTTCCGGAAGCTCAAAGGTAGTAAAGGCTGAATGAGCTTAGCTTACCCTGGGCTTCTGTTGATGGAGACAACTTAGGGACTTGACAGGGGGCAGAAAACCCTCATTCATCATTAGCACCCGTACTTAAGCCATTTGAAAATAAAGCTTAAAATAACATTTATTAGGAGTTTCAATATACAAAAGAGTAAAATAACAATGGCCCCTTCAATTCTCCCAGATATCCCTATTAACATATATTTAAACAAACAAATATGCCTACATGGCCAAAAGGACAAACCATATAGAAATGTATAAAATGAAAATAAAAGTCTTCATCTCCTTCACACTTGACCCTATTCTCAAAGGTAACTATTATCATTTTTTTTCAAATTGTTCCTAAAAGTTTATACATATAAATGTATAAAAATGGATACCCTATAGAAATTGCCTGTTAAATACAGGGTTTTTCCCCCCCCTGTGTAATGTTTATCTTTTCTCCTCTTGTGTTTAGGATTCCTAAACTAAGCAAACCAGAAATAAATCTCTGTCAGAATTTTAATAACTGCTTCAAAATATGTTCCCTATATTCCAGAAAAGCATTCACTAACAGCTATTAGGAGAAAAACCAAACAGTTTTTTCTCTTTCTCCTATTATTTCTATGCCTAAAATAAATACACCCCAATCTCTTTAAAAGAGAGGGTATTAAATTCAAATTTAAAGAATTTATTGAGTACCCACCATGCATGACTTTTCCTGAAGTGCTAGAAATATAAGCATTTGTAAGTCATGATCCCTGACCTTACAGAAGGTAAAACATAGAAAATGTTTATCTGATGCCTATTGTAAGCCATCACTTCACACAACCTTCCCAACACTCTCATCTGATGATGACCACTACAGAGAGGGGCACCCAGGTCAGAAATTTCCATGGCCTGCTGGGGACATACGACCGGGATAGAACCGTGCTAATGTGTTTACTCAGGTACCTGGGCTTCAAGTCCCCAAGCTCAGTTCCTGTTCCATCAAGATGGCTTACAGAGCTCATAATTCAGTGAGGGAGAGAACAGGCACATAACTGAATGGGCCCACCTGGGAGGTGTGAGCTCAGATGGTGGCGGAACTGGGACCAGCGGGGCAGGAGGTGGCTACTCATTCTGACTGTGGCGTCTGGGAAAGTTTCACTGAGGAGGGAACATCTGAGAGGATTCTGAAGAATAAGAAAGATTTGAAGATGGCATGAAATTCCTCCACAACTGACAGATTTGGAAAAAAATTTAGTATTAAGCTGTATCTTCACTTCTACTCCGGTTAAAAATATGTTTTAAACCTAGAGGTAATAATCTTTTGTGTCTCTGTTAGATTATTATTGGTAATTAGACTGTTCCCTTGGGCCTATTATGGACAGAATCAAGCCTACCCAGTAGCTCATTTGAGAAAAACAGCACATCTAGAAGGTTCGTTTGTTGATCATGTGATCTAATTAAAGTCGAACCTTTGAATGTTAGCAAAGGCACAATATGAATAAAACTGGAAATACTCTGGACTGTCAGAGGACAAACTGTACTTCCTGCCTTGTTTGTTTTCTGATTTCCACTTTGTCTTCACAGTGTTATAACGGGAGCCCTTGAAAACTCAAGAGCAGAGATGTGCTCTTGACATAGGCCAGCCTTTGCAGCTATCCACTTCTCCTGATGTTGCTGTTTTCAGAATTAAAAGGTATTTTAGTTCAAAGTCCCTTATTTTACAGGTGGGAAAACTGAGGCTGTAAGAAGCCAGTCTTTGAAATCAAGTCTTCTAGATCCTTGCTCCTCAGAGTATGACGCCTGGACCAACAGCCCCGCACACTGGGGGACCTTGCTAGAAATGCAGGCTCTGAGGCTCCACTCCCGACCGACAGACTCAGACTCTGCATTAAAACAAGATCCCCACTTGATGTGGGTGCACTTTAGAATTTTAAAGCACTTTTAGGCTGGTATGCTTTCCATTAAAACACAATCTCTCCGATACAATTTTCTTTTTTACTTGAAGTTTGCATTTGTCTCATACATATTTGAGAGAAGATGCAGGCTCTGGGGTATGTGAATGCCAACAACACAGAAAGAGCAAGATCTCCCTACACCAGCTGGAGAGCTCCCAAAGGCAAGTAGAAACTCAGGGCCCCTCCGAGGGCCCGCCTTCCTCAGGACTAGAGGCCGACCTCCCATGTTGAGAGAGGCCTGGCTGTGATTCTTAAATCTTTTCAAGAGTCGAATGAAGATTTTATATTCAGTTGGGCTTTCAGGAGATTGAACCTGAGAAGAAGTAAACATCCCCCTGGGCTCACTCTGTTCCTCCCATCACATCTGGGCTCAGGCCACTCTTGGCCAGCCCAGTCTCTCAGTCTTTCAGAAGACAAAAG